TGTCACTAAGAAAGAGCATGCAATGATTAAATAAAATTTTAAAAATCCTCATTATATTTTCTTGTTTCAAAAGGTAGTAGGATTACTAATAGCTGATAAACTATATGAGAGTGTGGCCTTGAATATATTGTGGCATCAAATGTTACCAGGTTGATTTATGAAGTTGCTGCCAATGTATTGATTTTATCTTTATACTATTACATTTTAAAATTTATGTTCTAATATTTTCCTCCTTTTTTTCCTCCTACATCTTTCCATGTCATTGTACTATTGTAGATTCCTCTCCATGTCTATTCCTTTTTTCCCCACCTCCTGTTTTGTGCTGCAAACCTTTCAGCTTTATCATCTTCTTCCATATGTAAAATACCTTGGTCGCTCTTCTAATCCTCTGAAAAGAAAGGTCTTGTTTTCTGTGTGTACCTAGACAAACTAATTCTTTATACCTTTACTCCTGCAAGATGAATATCCAGACTCACCAGATGAATAACCACACACTGGGAAAAAGGTTGAGAAATGGTATATTTAAGTTTCCCATGCTGTTAACTCATTTTTGTGAAGATTTTTGAAGTTTCTTAATCCTTTTGTTCAACATATATTTGACTTCTTTCATAGAGACACAGTATTAGATTATTGGATCCCATTAGGATGACTGCTTTATATTATACAAGATAGTTTGAAATAATAGCTAACAAAATATTTTTAAGAGTCAGTTAAGTAATTATAAACTTTCTTTTACATCATATACCATTCAGTATGAAAGACTTGAATTTTTACTCTGCTCTAAGATGTAACTTAAAAATAACATTACTCTTGACTAAATATAAATAGTTAATGATTACCTAGGATTCTGTGTTTTCCTTTCCTCACTGTTTATGTTGTTCTGTGCTCACATGGTCATTTTTCACTTCTGATCTTATGAAGACATTTATGTTCCCCAGAAGATCATATGGATTTCAAGAAAATTTAGTACCTCTTTAATAAAAGCCTCAAAAACATTCATTGTTTCTCTTTCACTGCAAAACTCTGAGGAAGAATTTTTTTTTTGGCAAAACTCTTTGCTGTCCTTTCCAGAAAATTTTCTGAGACACATTGAAAATGCAAGATGCTGACAGCATGGCAGCAGCTTTGTGTTTTTCAATAAAATGATAACTACTTTTGTTCTGTTCCAGGAAACAGCAAGAACACTACTCTGAATTTTGCTTTTAAGAGTCCTAGGAGCTCTAACCTTCCTTCTGTTCTGTATCATGTACATAACAAATGTGAAAATAGAATTACAAGCTCACATAACACTTTGTGTAGTCTTGACAGTGAACTAAGTATCTTTTCATCTCAACCAAGTTTTATTTTGTAAAGTTGGAAATGAAGTTGCTTTTGGAATTTGCAAAACCACTGCAAATTCATAGACTATCATGCCATGCAAAAAGAGGGGAATGCATAAAAATATTAATAGAGAATCAACAGAACATCAGTATTTTTAACCTGAACAACAAAGTAGTCAGTCAGGATACTTGGAGCACTTTATCACTTGTACAAAAGTTTTTGCCTCCAGAGTTCTTGCTGTGTTTTATTAATGAATAGTTATAAATCTTTTTAAGACCTTAAAGCTATTAGACCAGAGAAAAGCATTTTATTATTGTTATTGTTCACTTGAATTGTGAATTACAGGCATCAGAACAAAATAATTTGCTTCAGATTGCCGGTTAAATTTATTTTGTGCATTAATCATTATAGTAAAAATACTTTACATTAAAATATATTGTTTTGCTGACAAGATATATTCCATTCACCTGGGTTGAAAATGGCACTGAAAGCTAAGCTTGGTTTGGGGTTTTTGAGGGTTACATAAAATAAATCATGTGCAAATCCAATTATAAACTTACTTAGACAAAAGAGTTGATTGCCAAAACATTTCAAAGCAAGTATCTATCATCAAAATACTGATTCAAGTTACTTTGTAATTCAAAAGAGATGGATTTATCTTTTTCAAGCTAAATTTGTCATTCTGCCTCTATATTTGATGCAGTTGATTAATACCTAATTTGGACACCTGCTTTGACCTGCCAGGATTGAATGTGTTTATTTTTCTATATCTATTACAAAAATAAAGTTGCATGGAACAATGGCTGATTAGAGCTGGGGCTTTGTCCCAAACCAAAATTCAGATGTCTGAAATGTCTGCTTCGAACTGTTCTGGAAATGCTGTTTCGCTATGAGGTTTATATGGGATTTTAAATTGCAGACTAGGGGATTATTGATAGTTTACTAAAGAAACATACAACTTGTATGTAATTCTGGTTTGTACTTTTGAAGATCATTTGCATGTTTGTTATTGTTAGCTAACTTGATGTAAAGAAAATGTAATTCTGCATATAAGTAAAGTATTATTTCTTTTTTGTAAAACTGAGAGATGTGTTGATTTAGCCTGGATTGAATACAATGCAGTGCCTTCTCTTCACATTACACATCACTCAAGTGAATCTAGGTTGCAATATGTTTTTGAAGTGAAATTCAGTTCAGTAACTCTCTGGTCCCAAAATATTTAAGATCAATTTTCAATGGAGATAAAAAAGAGCCTAGAAAAAATACTAGACAAAACCCTCTGATACATTATGCTGAGCTGAAAAAGTGTCTTGAAATTTTTCAGGTTTCCTCCCTTACATCTATACAGTTTTGCCTATTTAGAAAATCTTCCATGCTAACATGACTTTTTTCACATAAAGAAGTAGTGCTGAACTCCAGTGTGAAATCTTTCTAGTTTTCTGTCAGACAGCACTGGCAAACTCACAGAAGACCCAGGATCAAGTGTTTTCAGGATTATCTTGAAGTCTGATAGTCTGCCTTTGCTTGAAACTATCTTGATTCTGCCTTTGGTGAAAACCAAAAAGTACATTTTATTATCTCTTTTATGTGAGTACTTTTTTATGGGTACTTAGGCGCGTGTTGAGCTAAGAAAGACAACAAGGACAGAAATATTCTTCAGCATAGTTTTCTGTTAGGTTTTTAAAAATGTGGCTTCAGCTTAGGATATGATCAGATGTCAGTATTTACAGTGACTACTGACACATCATGAACTACAAACTTTATGAAGTTACATGTTTTTCACTGAGAATATTACTTTGTTTGAAATTTAATCCTCATGTTGTCCTTTATTCCATTCGTGGTTGATGTAACAATAGCCAGTTCAAGCCAGTTTAGTGAAAGGTTGCTATTTTTCAATGTCATATTAGCACAAGTGTGTTCTATTTGATTTGAACCTGTATAAGAAAAAATAACAGAATATATTGACTAGAGTGTACAAGTCAAGTTCATGTTCTTAACTCCATGTTCAGCACAAGATAAAGTTAACAGGAAAAATACAGCTCCCAGTGGAGCCACAGCTGAGTGTTTTCTGTTCATTTATGTATACTCAGCTTAGACCACACATGAGACTGTGGCCTGTATTGGTTTATCCTGAATATATTGTCAGCACTATTACCTGCTATCTGATACTGTGACAGACAAAAGGTTTTCTAGGTTTTCTGAGTACAGTCTGTGGCCTTAACCCAGTCTGTAGGAACTCCATTATAAAAGTTCCTTTTTAGAGGTTTATGTCAAAAATAAAATTTGAAGTGTTTGGCTATTTAACAGCAAAATATATACCTTTTAGTTAGAATAAATATTTGCAAGCATTTTGCAAGCATTAGCCTACGTAAATAAATGGTTGTCTCATTTTAGGCAATCCATTTTGTCTTTCAGCCCAAAACATTGGAGTTTACGCTTGCTCTTTCCACAGTTGCTTAGTTCATATTTGTCACAAATGTGAAAAAGGAAACAAGGTGGCTTAATTTTCACCAAATTTCTGAAATAACAGTTTTCCAAAACTTTTATATGGTACCTGCTTTTTTTTCCTTTCTGTAAATGAAGTAAGGAAGAACAAAAAACATCTGTATGTATTTCATCCTTCCTGTCACTGCTACATTTCTGATGATCTATTTAAATCTGACTGACACTGACTATCTATGCTAATTGTGCTGAAATAAATATAATTAAATGTAACATGCATGCGGACTTATGCCATGCAATAAATATATAGGTAATTAAATGAGTATCAAACCTAGACCATATGTAGAGAGCATTCAAAAATCTACAAAATTGATGTATCTGAATCTGGATATATGGTATATCTGCTAATACATTATTTTACCACTACCTAAATGTACTAATTCTAAATGATCTATAGTTATAAAGTCAACAGAGAGAGTAGGAAAAAAACCCCAAAAATGTCTTTTTTGTAAATGTTTATATCTAAGACAGATAGTAGCCTACAGTTTTTACAGCACAAATTTTTAGACAAGCACTAAAAGGAAAAAGATGGGCTGCTTTAATAGTTGTAGGTTATGGCTTATGATTTTTAAACTATTGCTCTGAGATCAACAGCGGCTGGTTTTGTATTAGCTTCAGGTGGTTTTTGGTTTTGTTTTGTTTTAATTTAGATCATTACTGTGCTTTGAAATGAACTCATGCAATGTGTGCCCTTGTTAGGCTTTGGTTCACACCAGTGAGTGATCTTGGCATGCACAAGTTGTTTTCCTTTCAGATGAAACTGAATTGAGAAATGCACTGCAGGAGTGAACTGTATGTACTTCAACATGGAGTGGTCAACCTGCAGATGGGACCAGTTTAGAACTAGTCAAGGCCTTAACCTCTGAAATGTGTGTGTTGTACCATAATTGTCCAACTCCAAAGTTCTGGGTTTTTTTAAAGCATTGCAGTACTTGCTAGGATAGTGTGAATTGAACAATTTTTTTTTGTTGTTGCTTTTTTTGAGACAGGATCTCTTCTTTTCTTCCAGGCTTTGTCTTTTTCCTGTGGAGCGTAGGTTTCATGGGATTTTTTGTTCAGGAACTCAGAACTTCATTAAAACAACAAAATTCAATGTTGAAAAAACTTATTGAAGCATAAATATAGTTGTTTAGGCAGAAGACATTAAATCTAGCAAAACTTGATTTCTTTTTTTCCAGGAAAGAACAGTAACAATTAGAAGACAGACTGTAGGAGGATTTGGATTAAGTATAAAGGTAAGATGATATTTTTGGTCTATTTATTACCTATTACACAAAGCATGTCTTTGTATATAGTCAATGTTACTGTTAATGAGTCCAAACTATTTTAGAGGACTAGAAACAAGACAGGAAACATATTCTTGTATGTTAGATACTGTTACAGCAGGCAACTAGAGCTATGCTACACTATGGAATGGAAGGCAATCATTCCCTTAAAATTCAAGCTGACCAACTCTGTAATAAGGTTTGATGTAAGAGTTGAGAAGTGTTTTCAACTGTATGGACTGTACTTGTTCAGCTTTTCTCTAATTTAAATAGCTATTAATGAATGCTAAATTACAGTGGCAGGAACAAGGAGCAGCCAATAAGTTCATCATCAATTCTGCTACAAAGAATATCACATTAATCCATTGCAATTCATTAGTGGGACAGAAAGTGTTATTGCCTGGTTGTATTGTATATTTTTCTGTATATCAAGCCCAGATAGCAGTTTATCATGTTACTGTGGTTTTGCTTTTGTCAGTAAGATTTAGGAACATATACAAGTGTAGGTGATCCTTTTTAGGAGAGGGAGGAAGGGTTAATAATTTTTGTCATTTTAATGTATGATTTTGAAAACTTTACCTTAGCTTTGAGTCTGAGTGTAGACAACACAAGATTAATTTTATCTTCTACACACAGCAGTTCTCAGTCTCAAGATAGCAATGGAAAAAATGAAGTGTACTTCACATGAATGCAAAGAGGCCTAAATTATGCATATAAAGTGAAAGTATAGATTTTCCTATGACATCTGCTAGTAGTGACCTTATAAGTGACTCAAAAGAAGGATTAACGTGCATTTGTGTTGTCATTGATAAGAATATGACTGAATAGAAGTATTAATTTTTAAAAAAGTCTTCGTGCACTTGCTGTTATCTTGTTGACCCATGAAGACCTCTGTTCAAGAGAAACTAATTGCTATTTTGTCACCTGAGTTTCTCATCAGTTTGGTCAACAACATTGAAGGTTTTTTCCCTCTCTGGTATCATTATAGGTTACAGTACACTGAATAATAATGAAGAAATGAATGTCAGTGTAAAATCAAGTGTATGGGTAAAGGTGGTTTTATTTAAATGCTGCTAAGAAGTAACTGGTTACAGTAAGGACTTCAGATGATTGGAGAGCAAATCTCAAGAGTCAAGAAACTTGATTTTTACATATACTTTACAATGAGCTATTTAGAATTAATATCACTGACAATCTTAAGATCACATTATTTAAGTATTATATACATTGCATAAAATAAAACATCATTTAGAAATATAAAATAGAGAATATCCAATGGTCTTTCTTAAATTAATAGTTATTCTTAACTTTTTAGAGTAAGATATTTATTTTCTATGATTATTTTATGTCATATATATTTTGATCAAAATTAATCAAAGTATTGGAAAGGTGAAGATACATAAAGTCAGGTGTGAATAGGCAATTTTAAATTTTTTTAAATAATTAGCAATCAGGTGATGAAATCCCTTCAAAAATGTCATTAAAGAGCAAAGAGTTCTCTTTAAAAAAAGGAAACTCAAACTTGTTTGGATGGCACAGATTAGATAATTAAAATGAAAAGTTGAATTCTGTGGTCCAGGATGTTCTGTTGCTGTGTTTCAGCTAGCATGATTTATTACTTTAAAATTACTTATTTTTTTAAAAAAAATCAACGTTTGTTGGACCTTTTTTGCTAAGTCCCTTTGTTTGTAGTTCTACATTCTCACAAAGATGGACAAGCAGTTGGAAAGCCAACACAATCTGAAATAAAAATTAACAAATTCTATTATTATAATTTTAAACTAGTGTAAAAAACAACTTAGAATGGGAACTTACAGTAATTTTTATTTTTTAGTTTAGTAGGCAAACTTTATGAAGACTTACTGAAATAGATTCTTTATTTATGGCATGGAATGACATGTCAGTTCCAAATACTCTGAAAGGTGCCAGTTTTCTGTTTAAAGTTCAATCATGGTTTGCTTCTTGCGGATGAATACAAGTTTGCTGCTAAGTTTTTGTTTTGTTTTGTAAGATTCCTAAACTTTAATAAAAAAACTTATATTAAAAGATTAATTTTAAATACAAATGTAGTTATTTTGAATTTGTGCCAGAAAGTAGAGGTCTACAAGTCACTCTGGAGAAGTGAGAAGCACTGAGGCCTCTCCTCCTTGTGTCAGTAACTTCCATCGCCCCTCAAACAACAGTAGCTTCTGTTGTCTTACTACTCCCAGAATAATTAAAGACAGGGGTTATTTGAGGACTTGCTTTCTGGCTGTGATGTATGTCAGAGGATGGTGTTTATCTGAGGTGTTAATTACAGCAATACAGTGATTAATGACACTCACTTGAGAATACTTGCTTGGGCTTGGTTATGAATTTGCCTAGTTTCAGCTATCAGGTCTGGGGCATTATCTTGTCTTTTTTTTTTCCTACTAACTTAAAACATCCATTTACTGTCAGAAAACTCCCATGAAAAAGTCACCTTTCAACATTCTCTTGAATAAATTTTGAAAATGTTTTATCCCACTGCAAGTATTTTGAACCCTTGGAATTATTCTTTTTCTGGAGAGCAGAGAACAAATTCCTAATAATTCCAAAATTAAACTATTTTTTTTTAACCTATGAAAGAAACTCTTCTCTTATAACTTGGATATTCCAACTATATTTGTAAAAATCAGAAATTCAGCTAACTGCTTAAGAAAAACCCTGTTTGTAAGGTTGACTTTTGTCCAAGACCTAAACTTCAGACCTTTAAGAAATAGATTATAATCCACTCTCTTAGGGTTTGAAAACCTGGTGTTTTGCTGTACGTCTTAGCTGAAGTTAGTGGTGAAACTGTGATTGAATTTGAAGCAGACCTGCTCTGGTTTACACTCTTCTGAAGGAACGATTTTCTCTTTTCTGAAGCCTCCTGTTAAATGTTTGTGTGGAGGAATAGACATAGACATAGAATTTGGAAAGTGTAGTATTTCAGTCATTTATCACATCTCTGACAAGTTTGAGATGCAGAGCCTTGACAAAAGAGGCTGCTCACTGTATGATTTCTGAAAGAACATCCTGTTTTTCAATAATTGGAGTGTAATGTTCCTGAAGAAATAGGCAACAAAATTGAGAGTTCATTAAACAAATTGAGGTTTTTGGTTTACCTGGTCTGACTTCTGTCTACCAGGACTCAGTACACTGCCATTATTCTTCCTCTGTTTTTGATCATTCTTTTAAAATGGTGAACAGCATAACAGATCTTCTGAGATTCAGTTTGACTTTCCAATTTAACTCAATCAAAAAATTCAGTGTCCATAGACCTTAAAGCTATTTTTGCTAGTGGAAATGCTTCCTTTTACTATGAAGTCATAGTTCCCAACATTGTCTAACTCTGATGATCGTAAAGTCCAACAATTGGTCTGATCTTTTATAAACTCTTTTTTTAGAAAATAAAAAACTGATTCCCCTGTTATACTTAGAACCAAAAACCCCCAGCCTTTGTCAACAAAGTTACTGCTTTCAATTGCCCTATTTTTCATATGTCAAAAACTTCTGAAAAAAACCCCTCACACATAAAAACTGGGATAAGAAAAAATCTTTAGGAGTGTATCGTGTGACACTTTGAAAGGAGGTGTGGGTGACCTCTCACCAGTAGTGGCCAACATTCAGGACAGTGACCTTCAAACAGCTGCCAATGATTAGAGCTTCCTCTGCCTCGTCTAGCAGGACCACCTCTGCAGGTGGGAAGCTGCTGTCATTCCAGGTTTATCCCTGCTTGAGGAAAAATGACAAAGAACATTTGCTTGACAAAGATCATTGTTAGAGTCTGGAAGAGGTCTGAGCCATTAAGTCTTCAACACCACTATTTGATGTATTTCTGTCCACCCTCTGGTCTGAGGTTATAACTACATGTTTGTACTGGAGGAAGAGAAAATGTAAAGCAGTGAAAAAGTTGCCTCTGTTCCCAGAGGTTTCTTCCCAAGAGTATCCCCTGAGACAGAAAACCAGATTTTAGACATGCATACACTTTTTCCTCTACAGGACAGAGAATCAGGTATGGAGAATGCAGGATGCAAGGCTGCAATGTCAACCTGAAGTAGTATTCAACAACGTGTTGGCAGAATACACACAGTTTGCTACAAATTGCTAAGAGTGGCTGGGTATAGGTAGTTGGCCACCTATTTCCTGTTTCCAGTTTTGATTTTTTGTTTCTTAGAACAGCAGGTACTACATCCTTTTACTGATTTGAAAAGAAGCCTTCATACAGGTCAGACTCGGATGCAATGAGAAGAGATAATTCTCTTCAGTTGGAAAGTACTGAAAACTTCCTCAGATCTTTAGTGTAAATGGGTTTAAGTAGAGTCAATACAATGAGAGAGGAATAATCGTGTTGTATACATTGCAGGATGGCTTAGTAATAAAGTTAATTTCCTATTTTAATGGAACCTCAGATCTAAGGAGGCAGGGAGGCGCTTTTAAACCTCACATTTCTTTGCTGGGCTTTAAGTATCCTGGATGGTGCAACATGTGTGTAACACTGGAGGCTTAGGAAGAAAGTGACACAGTTATTTTTTCTGTTTTTTTGAAAAGTTTGGAAGAAATTAAATTTACATGTGACTAGAAAATTTGGAGGGTATAGGTTAAAACTTATGAATTTAGTGAGCTTGAACTCTATCTGCAGTGAAGCCAGCTTTTACTGTTGCTATTCTTCTGGTGAAAACTATTGAAAGATATTCAACAAGATATAGTGATGATAAGTTCCATGCTTGTCAACACTTATCACATGCAATGCGAGAAGAACTTTACCTGTAGACATATAATTGTTGTAATATTACTGAGATCCCCATTAACTCAGTGTTTTTAGGGACATTTGCATTGATAGCCAATAGCAAAAGGAAAATTTATCCTATTTAGCATTCTGTGGCTACACAGGAAATCAATCTTTATTCCATGACAGAAGGAGGTGTTGAGTGCAGGAGTCTGTTCAGTTTCAAACACTTTGATATTGCATGAAGAAGGGATGTGTGCTGTTCCTTAGGGGTTGAAATACCTGTGTCAGCCCTTTTCACAACTTGACACAGGGTGCCTGGACCTAAAAAAGCCATCATTTCCAAAGTAAAATCTGTCTGCAGAAAAGAAGAGTAAGAAAACACTTAACCAGTATTCCTAGTCAAAACAACAGTGTGGCAGACATTGGTATCTGGTGACCTGAATTTGTACAGCTTGCATTTGAGTGTATGCTTTGATGCTCTTGGCAGAGGAAAAAGTATTTGTGTCTCTCTGTATTTTTGCCTTTACCTTCCTTTGAATTTCCTTTTCATTTAATCTTTATTTTTATTACTTTGTTCTTAAGCACCACAAATATTTCCAGTCCCAACAGGATAAATTGAATGAAGCAACAGCATTCAATTGTTGTCGAACTGTTGAAACTATCACCTGGTTTTCCTTTATTTCTCCCCATTATTGAACACCTACTGTTCCATTTCTTAATGCTTCTTTTTCTGTTTCATATTACTTATGCCACTGCTTTCCTCACTCTTTGTGCTTGTGTGACAGACAGAGACAAATAAAGGCTGCTTTTGACATGAAAAGTCCAAACCTCCTTTCTTGTGCTTTTGTTTACCTCCTTGCCAGCATGAAAACTAAGTGGTCACAGTGTGATTGCCATTATAGTTGGATGTCCATTCTGCTTTTACAGGACACATTTCATACATTTGGCTCTCCAGAATTCACAGAAACTGATGTCCTTCATGTCTGGTAGAGTTCTGAATTCACTTCACGAGCTAATGATGGCAACTGAGAACTTCTTTATGTGAAACAATAAGGAATTAATCACAGTCAAATGTTCATTAGAAAAAGAAGAAGTGCAGAATCAGAGTTATTTGCTCAGTCTCTCTAAAAACTGCATTTAGAGAAAGGGTAAAATATAACTTAAAGCAAAAAGATGTTTTTAGTGACTGACAAAGATTGCCATTTATTTTGTTTTCAGGGTGGAGCAGAACATAATATTCCAGTGGTCATTTCTAAGATTTCCAAAGAACAAAGAGGTGGGTATCAGGTATCAGCTTATTACACTGTACTTTAATGTTCCCTTTAGAAAAAGATCTTGAAGAATCTTGAGATTTTCAGTCAATGTTAAAACAAATACTGTTGTTGAACCCTTTCTCTCCTATGTCTTTATGATCTTTCTCTTCCTCAGAAACTTTTTCTGAAAAAGTACAGAATTGATATTTGGAATATTTTTTAAAGTCTTCAATTTTTATTTTTATTTTTTAGAAAATAGAAACAGTAAAGTAATAGGAAAGTATTAGAAAATAAATAGAAATTATAGAAAAGCAATAGGAAAGTATCAATAGAATGAAAATGTTTAATAAATTTAATGAAAGGCAATGATTTAGTAGCTTTGACTTCGCAGTAATTATTGTCTGGAAATTGTAGCAGATTGAATGTTTGGCTCTTAAATCATAGTAACACAGCAGGAGAATGCATGGCTTTTTAACCTGGATACTCAGGTTGTATTTAGAGTACTTTAAGTACTGCATAAAGTTTTGGCCATACTTATTTTTAATAGTAACAGAACTGGTGCTGAATTTCTGTATTGATTTAACTGGCAACATTTTGAAATTATTGGAGTGATACATGGATAATAGTTGAACAGCTCAAGATGTGCACAAGTATGAAGGAGGAAGGTTGTGAACCAGTACTAATAATGTGTACTTAATATCTTATGTTTGTATGCATTTGTGTAAGGCCAGAAATGCCAACTTGGAAACATTCCCCTCCATCTGTAATGCAATAATTCTAGAACTCAGCTTCTCCTCCTACTGAACTAAAATGTGTCAGTATAAAAAAAAAAAAAAAGCCACTCAGATAGAGAAGAATGGAAGAATCAGCATACTGAGAACCAAAAGCCAACCTTGAAAGGTAGATGTGAAAGTTGGAGTTAGGGAGAATAAGGAGAAGCATGGAATGAACCCCTAAGGAAGGCAATAAAGTTAACCTTAAGAATTTATACTTGTGACTACAGTCTTTTCAGTACACACGTAACTAATACATAAAGATGTGGCATATATTACATGCAGTACCTATTAAAATGCTATTAAGCACTGCAGGAAAAATAAGAAAGATATACCTAAGTCTAATTGAGCACACTGAAGTGCAATTTTATTTCTGTCATTAGTTTTTTTGCTGCAGTAGCTGTTGCATTGTTTCTAGCCCCAATACCTAGATGTGATATAATTTCCATAACTGCTTTCAGTAAAAATATTGCTGATTTTTGCAGAGCTAGTTTGAGGGATATCTCTTTTGTAGGAGACTGCTGTCTTGTGATGTAGAAAGTGTCATGCTGTGTTCCTGGACTAGAGAACTTTGATAGAGAAAATGCTGTTTGACCCAAAGCCTATGCCTCAAAATAAATCAGAATATCTATCCTGCAATAATTTAACCATCCATTTTTAAATACAGCTAATAGGATCATTCCACCAAGCAAGGACTTGAGTATCATAATTTACATCAATATTGATTCCAGTTTTGCAGCTCATGTAAATAAGTAAAGTTTTTGGATCAAGTCTGATACTAGCTTTTTCCAGACAGTCTCTTCTATGTTGATATGGAGTACTATAGGTAAAAATTACATGTAATCTGTTAATATCCCATAATTCTCATGTTCATGTTCTCAAAGGTTTTTAATGCCTTTACAGACAAAGAATCTTTGTTATATTTCTGGTGTGCTTATAAGGTATATTTGAATGAGATAGCTCTGAAATGGAGCACAGTGTTTAAAAATTGGAAGTGTAGAATTAGATTTTATAAAGTTGTGATGCAACTTTGTTCTTAAAATCACATTCAGTTTGACTGGTGATTTCTTTACAATATATTGACTTTCTAGCTCTTCAGCATATGTAAGTGTTGTCCAGCATTAATTGTTCCTATTATTTATCAGACTTATCAAAGATGCAAGATCTAAAAGGTCCTTTATCTTTGGTAAAAATCTAAAAATTAAATTTGTTATTCATAAGTATCTCTGGAGTTTCCATGTTGCTTTTTTTTCTTTGTAAGAAATTATCTTTCTCAGGCAAATAACACCTAGTCCTGCAGTCATTTTCTATTCAGAAAAATATGTTCCACCTTACCAGAATGGCCTGAAAGGTGCTAGTGACTGATGGAAGAAGTTTCATGGTTGTGTGCTTGAGCTAAATAGCCTCTTTTATTGTAACACTGATACACAAGTATTTTGGGTTGTAAAAGGAAAATACAAGTAATTTTATTGGAAGTTTTATGTTGAAGTTTTTATCATGTTTTTTGTTTGAAATTTTAAAAGATAATGCAAAACCATTAAATAAAAATTTTTGTACACAAAATGTTGGATATTTTGTACAAAGTGAGTGAAAAATATGCTTTCTGTTTTCAGCGGAACTTTCAGGTTTGCTCTTTATAGGAGATGCAATTCTACAGGTGAGTAAAACTGCAAATTATTCTGTCTGTAATTTTCTAGAAAAGTGAAATGAAATCTATGCTTATGAAATGTAGAGTAAGTCTTCTCTTTATCTTTTTAATAACAGATTAATGGAATTAATGTGAGAAAATGCAGGCATGAAGAAGTGGTGAGCTTTTCTGTTTTTTAGTCTACTTTTTTTGTCTTTTGTAGTTGCTGAAATGATAGTGTATGCTGATAGCAATGCAGTGGCATCAGCTGTTTTATTGTTATTCCTAAACAAATATGCCTGTACCTTCTAACATGACAAGCAACAAAGTGCAATCTCTTCTTCCTAAATCTGTGTAATTGCTCTTCCAGATAGGATTTTCTATATTAAAGGTGATTGTTTTATTATGAAGATTTGGGCTGTACAAATTTCAGCATTTCTTCTTCCAGCTAATAGCTGTCAAATTTCAGCAGTGCTACACTTTTCTGGCTGTGTGGGGTCATTTTAATTTCAACAGCTGTAATTTGCACTATGTTGGAGATTTGTTGTTTGGTTACTTTTAATCCTATTTAAAAAACGAGAGAAAACTATTCATCTGCCACTCATCCTCTGGCTGTTCCTTATGAGGGTGCTCTTCTCCTTTAGTTAAGATGCTATCATTTTGGGTAAATTAAAAAAAAAATATTAAGGAGTTTTCTTCTAGAGAAGAAATTTTGAGAGATCTGTAGTAGTCTGGTTCCACTGGTGAATCAGATTTGCTAAATGCATCATGTACTTTAGCCATATTTTTTTTGACTCTTCTTAAATACTTTCAGAAGCAGAAAACCCTTTATTTCAGAAAAAAATGCCAGAAATTAAAAGATTACCAAATAAATTACCTTTAAATCCTGTTTAGCTCCATAGAATTTGTACCTGTATTTTTAAAGTAACATAGTAAGGACATATTTGAAAGCTTCTCTTTCTGACTCTGCCAATTCAAGGATGATCTTTGTGTTTCATCCAGCATTCTGCTCTATGACAGAGCAGAATATGTGCTGTTCAGGTATAGAAAGCAGGAGTTAATATGGATGAAGTTCTGATGAAGAAGTTTATTGGAGGCTGAAGATTAGATCAATGCACTATTCTTCAGAGTGTTTTTGCACACTTGTTTCCTTTTGGAAATCAACTGAAAATCCTTCTTCATTCTTCAGAGCCTTCATCATACCCCCTTCTGTATATACTGGTTAATAGTTGTATTTATATTGCTTTTAAGTTTTGTCTTTGCAACAATGATCAGGTTGTAAATATTTTATAAGTTTACTGCAGCTGATTTGTTTAACATGCATTAATATGGCAAATATCTCAGGGGGATTTAAATGTTGGAGTTACAAAACATGGGAAAGATATTGCTGAAAGAGTAGCCTTGCACACTTGAATGCAGATTGAATATTAGTTAGGACATCAGGATTTTATTTTCTGTCTTCTGAGACATTCCCTAAACCCTCAAAATGATACATGAATCTTTTGGGTATTTATGATAAGGTTGGAACCCATTCATGGGAAGAAAAGAGGTTTTGGAAAAGTTGAAAGAGGGGATTGACATGCAGTAGCAAGTGTTATGTTAAATTTTGATTTATACCTTTTTATCTAACGTAATCTGCTTCTTAAACTCCTTGTAGATAATTCTCTATGAATTAAAAAAATAGTATCTTACCAGTTTTGCATGTGCATTTATGTAATTGCAAATGGTTTAGGAATTCAAGAGGCAAATAAGTTCTAAATGAAATCCTTATTTTAATTAAGAATAATTTTTAATATTTCATAGCAAATATTGACTAATATTTAAATAGGATCAAAATTCCATATGACATTTTATTAAAAATATACATAAGAGTTGTGATATATAATATAAATAAAAAAGCCAAAGTAAATGAACTCTGATAGTCCATTCTTTTTCAGAAACATTCACTGTTATATGCTACGTGTTTATGGAGTACATTTGTTGTAAAGCTGCAATAATGGTAATATTTCTGGTTCTGCATTGTGTAGTAACCTGTGGGTTAAGGCTTAGCCCTCAGTAAAGAGTAAATACATCAACTGGTGTGCCAGCAGCAGTCACAGGTAGGGTTTTGTCTGCAGCACGTCCTCTGCAGCTTGACTTGCTCTTGGACTTCTATCCTGTGGGGTCTTTATCAAATACAGGATCTGTAGCTCTGATCTGAAGGTGATACAGAGTAAATAGAAGCATGTGGAGCCTAGTTGCTTGCAGCAGGGAGTTGAACAGGAGTTGAAACTTAATTTTCAATCCATATTGCATCTAGGCACTTTTGCAATGGCTCTGCAGGACACCTGAACTTGTAGCTTTGTTTTGTTCTGATTTTTTCTGTACCTAATTAAGGCTTAGCAGGTACAATGTTCTGTAAGGATGTGTTAGTGTTTGGGTTGTCTTAATGTCTTAGAAAATTTTCATTGTAAACCAGTGGGTAATTTTTTTCAGTGGATGATGCTGAAGATACCTGTAAAAAATTCAGACTTTTATCTACAGTGTTACTCTGATGAGCATTCATTCTTTTCCTACATGCAAAATGTGTTGCTGCTTATGGAAACTTTTTAAATATATGTCATATCTTCATAGCTCTGCAGTGAAAAAATCTGTGCCATAATCACTGCAGCCTATTGTATGAAACTGATGATTAGTCGACCCTGGTATTTAATCTTGCTTTACTGCATAACCATAGTATGTATAGAAAATGATTTGAGTTTCAAAATTAGTTAGTTTAATCAAACTCAAGGCATCTTTAATAGCAGGGAGAATCTTTCCCCAAAGTACAGTGATCTTAGTTAACATTGTGGGCAATCTGTTGTCTTTATTGTCTTTCATTACTCTTGACATTAGATAGATAGATAGATGGATGGACTAATAGACTCATAAGCCTAGATAGGTAGGTTTAGTCAGCTCTTAGTGTACCTTACTGGATTTCTTTACATGGTTCCTTTCTGATTCTTTTTTTTAGCTATAGGTGAATCACTTAATCTTGAGCATAGTTTTCTGCTTGTAGAAGGTGAAAATATTGTTCATATCATGAAAGCACATGATGAGTTTCTATCAAGGACTGTCTCTATGCTTGTTGTTTCTCTTGGGTTGTAAAGAGCCCTAACTGAATACCGGATAACATTGCTTCAGTCTTAGTGCTCTCATGTGGTAAGGTAAGGACATGGTCTCTCTGGTGAAGTGTCAATACAGGGGGAGGCTGCAGAAAAAAAAATAAGCTAGCAATTTATATAAAAAAAAAATCTCTCGGCATCTCTCAAACTGGCAATTTCAGTCCAAAAAATGCAATATGAACTTGTATATAGAAGAAGAGTCCATTATATCTGTTTAAATACACAAGTTTGTGGTGTTTTTTTTTACTCAGGATGTTTTAATTATTCCTTTTTCAGTAGACTCTCCTTTAAATTTTTCAGTAAGAATCTTAAAAGCCTGAATTTAGATTATTCTGAGACAGACCTATGAGTTTTGGCTTTGTCTAATTAATATGGTCTAACAATGCACTGCTTGTCAGTCCACACACCTAGTGGATGTGGTTATCCATAGTAATAGATATGATTATTTTTAAGGCTGGAAATAAATGTATTTCTAGCTTTTACCTCCATTTATTGTCCAAACATAAAGATGGATAGACAAGCACCAGCATAGTATGGTTGTATGGATGTTTTTGGTGGTTCTGGGTCTAGCCACTAGTGTCAATAAAAATAGACAAGATTCTGGGAAAGAGTGAGTGGCCCTTGAGACACTTGTAAATGGCTACGAGTAGGAGGGTATGTCCGTTCAGTTGGATACTACCAAAAACCTTGTGTTGGATCTGCTGCTCAGGGTTGTAGTGCACCAAATCATCTAGAGCCAAGGTAGAATTGCAGTTGAATGAAGGCTGATATGTTTAATTTTGTCTCTGTTCTTAATGTTGTGAATGAAACATCTCAGATAGTATCAATAACTATGGTTGCATATCTCTTTGCATCTTAGCATCTGTTTTTTTCTCTTAGGAAATAGAAGAAATTAAATGACTATGGGTATGAAGTTATTTCTTATTTCTTCTATTTGGGGAACATTCAGGGAATGTTTCTAATGAAAAATGACAGCTCGCATGTGTCAGTTAATGTGGCATTTGGGCTTTCCTTGAAAAGTAACAGGAAAAGCTCATGTAGTTGGAGATAGCTATAAAGACAGAATTGATATTCAGGCTTTGGTGGATTTTATGTAAAGCTAACTACAATATGTAGCACTGTGGTTCATTTCAAGCACTGCTTGCATTTTGCACAAGACACCATTTTTTTCCAGAAGAATGACCTGATGTGAGATGTCCTCATGCACTGCCTTGAATCTTTTGCTTCCCCCTTTTCTCAACATTCACAGGAGAGCTGTACCTGTGCTGACTCTCCTTGAGTATTTATGTGAAAATGGCAATGTAGGGATTGTTGCTGCTTAACTGCAATCATCTGCAGCTAATGAAACTCTTACTCTGGACTTTCTCTTAAAATTATGGTCTCATTAAAACTCATTTTTAAAACTGAATTTAAATAGCTTTGGCAATGTTTCTTGTAAATATTTTTAAGCAGAAGAATAAGCATATTGCATTTTTAAGTCAGGAAACCAAATGATCTGAAATCTCCCTCCATCTTGACCTTACAGATGTGTCTTTTGGTAAATTATGTTATTATCTTATCTTTGTTTCCTTAACTATGAAACAGAGACCTAGACTATTATAGGATTTAGCTCTCTGGATTTTATTAAGTACTTCATAGTCTGTTATAGAAAAGTACATCTGCATTAATATTTTGCAGTTTCATAAAGTGATAACAGTAACCTCCAAACACAGATTACCACTTTCTGGTGTTGCAGAGATCCTGTACTTTATAACTCATGACACAGCCATTTAATCCTTTCCCTTCTAGACAGAATGCTGACTCTAAATGTGGAAGCTGCACAGCCAGTGCTTCTAAGACTGCAATCAATGTGCAGCTTTTAACTTCTGAATTTAAAAGTGAAATGTAAACTTCCTGGAAATCTAATACTTACTCTTTCCATAGAGCTGCTGATTTCTGTCTAAGACTTGAGTAATAACAATAACAATAGTAATAGTAAACTGATGTCGCCTTAGCTATCCTGGTATAAGTAATGAAAATACCTGTTATTGAATATC